TTCTCCACCTCTTCCTGGTGACGTTATCCCCGGATGCTCTTTTCCTCCTTCTGGTGGCGTTGCCCCCGGCAGCTCTGCTCCCCCTGGTCGTGGCGCTCCTTTCCCCGACTGCTCTCCTTCTTCTGCTGCTAATATTACTTTCCCCGGTTGTTCTTCTCCAACTGGTGGTGGCATTGCTTTCCTCGGCTGCTCTCCTTCTTCTGCTGCTAGTATTACTTTCCCCGGCTGCTCTCCTCCGACTGGTGGTGGCGTTACTTTTCCCGGCTGCTCTCCTCCTTCTATTGGTGGCGTAACTTTTCCCGGCTGCTCTTCTCCCCCTGGTGGTGGCATTGCTTTCCTCGGCTGCTCTCCTCCAACTGGTGGTAGCGTTACTTCTCCCGGCGTCTCTTTTCCTCCTGGTGGGGGCGTTACTCTCTCCGGCAGAGCCCCTCTTCCTGAAGGCGTTTTACCCTCTGATTCTCCTCCTAAAATGTCCGGTCCTGGTGGCTCTACTCCCTTCGGCAGCCCTTCTCCCCTCAATGACGTTTTTCCTGGTTGTCCTTGTACTAAAGTCTCTCCTCCTAATGACCCTTCTCCATCCGAATGCGCTCCTTCTCCTGAAGATATTTCACCCTGTGGTCCTCCTCCTGAAATCTGTGATACTTGTGGCCCCACTCCCTCCGGCAGAGCTCCTCCTTCTAACAGGCCTTTTCCCTCTTCTTCTGATCGCATTTCTACCGTTCCTCCCATCTGCGTTCGTTTGGCTTTCCTTGACTTTTTCTCTTCTTCCCTTTTCTCTGTTGTTTTTCCTTCTTCTTTCGTCTCCCCTAGTAGCCTGTTGTCCTTATTCACTTCTTCGGCCATCTTTGCTTCTTGTTTCGTTTCTCCTAGTGGTTTCTTTTCTTCGTTTTTTATCTCTCCTGTTGTCTTTCCTTCTTCTTTGATTTCTTTTCGGGGCTTTTCGTCTTTTTTCAAATCTCCTGGTGCCTTCCGTTCTTTAATCGTTTCTGTAAGTAACTTTTCTTTTCCTTCCATTTTTCCTGACGTCTTAAAATCCTCCTTTTTAGTTTCTCTTAAGTGCTTCCCTTTCTTTTTCATTTCTTTTCGTGACTTTTCCCCTTCTAGTTCCTCTGATGTCCTTTTTTCTTCTTTCGTCTCTAGTAGCTTTTTGTCTTTATTCACTTCTTCGGGCGTCTTTGCTTCCTTCGCTTTTCTCAATAGCTTCATTTCTTCTTCTTCTTTTTTTATTTCCCTTGGTGTCTTTCCTTCTTTATTCGTTTTTATCAATAACTTTCTTTTTTCTTCCCTTTTTCCTGACTTCTTCGAATCTTCTTTCGTTTTTATTTCTCCTAAATGCTTTCCTTCTTCTTTGATCTCTTTTTGAAGCTTTTCCTTCGAATCTTCTTTCGTTTTTGTTTCTCCTAAATGCTTTCCTTCTTCTTTAATTTCTTTTTGGGGCTTTTCTTCTTCTTTCACTTCTCCGTATGTCTTTCCTTCTTTTTTCGATTCCATCTGTGACTTTTCTTTTTCTTGTATTTTCGACGTCTTTGAATCTTCGATCGTATTTGTTCCTCTTACATGCATTCCTTCTTTTTTCATTTCTGGTGTCTTTTCTTCTGCTTTCATTCCTATTCGTGGCTTTTCTTTTTTTTCCATTTCTTCTAATCCCTTCAAATACTTTCTCAGTTTTGTTGAGGCCCTTCTTTCTTCTTTCATTTTTGTTTGTGGCTTTTCTTCTCCCCTCAGTCCTCCTGGTGTTTCTTCCTCTTTCGTTTTTCCTAGTGGTTTCCTCTCTTCTTTCGAT